GTGAGCGGCGACCTTGGGGTCCGGCATGGCGCTGCACTCCGAGCGGCCGGCCCTGCTGCTCGCCAGAGCCACACATGGCGTGGCTGAGCCAAGCAACGATGGGAGGCGGGAGTTTTTTTTCGCGAAGGCCAGGGAAGAGAAGGAGGCGCCATGGTGGAGGATGTGTTTGTGTCAAGCGCAACCCGTACGTGAGGAAGGAGGATGCTTTGACCCGCATGCAAGGGAGAAGATGCAATCTGGACGGTTATTATTGAGTAAATCGAACGATTAGGGCTTGACCAGCCAAAACTTTCGACCAGCGCGCCGGGGCCAGTACTGGCCTTCCTTATTTGCATCCCTACCTTCATGAGCAAAATTGTCTTAAAAAAACTTTATAAGGAAAAAAATGTTCTTATCTCTACCAAACAGTGTGATACACACAGACTGATGGGCCGATCGAGTTATCATCATCAAGAAAGAAAAAGTCCACTTGCGGTCGTCGTCTTGCTTAGTTCGGCCCGGCTGCCTTTGCTCGCTGTCGCCGCTCGCCACTGTAGTCTTCTGCTCCGCATCCAAATCTCAGATCGAACACCGCTATCGCCGATGGCCGCCTCCGCCTCCGCCGGCAGCCGCCGCTTCAAGATCTTCGCGGCCGCCGACGGCTTCGGCGAGCCGCTCAAGGACGCCGTCGTCGCGCACCTCCGCGCCCACTCCTCCGTCGCCGACGTCGTCGACCTCGGCGTCGACAAGTACTACTCCGCCGCCGCGGCCGTCGCCCGCGGCGTCTCCTCCTCGGCCCCCGACCCAGCGCTCGAGGCCCGCGGCGTCGTCGTCTGCGGCACCGGCGCCGGCGTCGCCATCTTCGCCAACAAGTACCCCGGCGTGTACGCCACGCACTGCGGCTCCGCCGCCGACGCCGTCAACACCCGCTCCATCAACGCCTGCAACGTCCTCGCCCTCTCCGGCATGGCCACCCCGCCCGAGGCCGCCGCCGCCATCGCCGACGCCTGGCTCGCCACCCCCTTCCGCGCCCCCTGTCCCGCGTCCGGCGACGCCCCTTGGCCGGAGGACATTCAGAAGTTCTTCGATGCTGCCCCCGGTGAGATGGCCTCCATCCCCGAGGGACCGGCAGCCCCTCCTGCGCCGGACTCCGCCTGCGCCATCAGCTACCTGAGGAAGGGGATGGAGTTCGAGCCGGTGGACATCATGCCCGGCGGCGAGAAGCGGATTGTGCGCGAGAGCCCGACTTCGGCCTACGTGCGGTTCAAAGCTGGAAGCGTGGAGCCGGCCCACCACCACACCTTCGGCCACGACCTGGTGGTGATCAAGGGCAAGAAGAAGGTGTGGAACTTGACCAAGAAGGAGAGCTATGGCCTGGTCGATGGGGACTTCCTGTTCACGCCTGCTGGGGACGTGCACCGTGTCAAGTACTTGGAGGACACAGAGTTCTTCATCCGCTGGGATGGGCACTGGGACATTCTCCTTGATGAAGACCTCGAGACCGCACGCAATGCCATCGATGCAGAGCTCGGTGTGGTTGACAGTGAGAAGCGAGGAGGTTTGTGAAGGTTCTATCTTGTGCTTCCACCTTTTTTTCTCCATCGATGCAGAGTTCAGTGTACAATGTTTGTTGCTGGTGCTGTGCCTGTACTGGTTCTGGTGACATCTTTTCAAATATGTATGTTTGCTGGATGCTGTGCCATGCTTTGTCGAATAAAATGGTGATACTGGTTGTAATGCTACCTTGATATGTTTATACAGTTACAATCTGTGTTTGCTGAATAATATGCAGATGCAAGGATTGCTATGTTTTATTCAGACTCAAGTTTAATGATCTCAACAAATATAACAAGTTAACAATTATATTCTGTGTCAATGTTAAGTGACACACAAGATGTTTTAGGCTATCGGCAAACATGCTTGGCTTGGTTTGTTTTGTGACTCGACATCCATGGACAAATGGATGCATCTGGTCTGCATTTAAAAGCTCGAACTTTTTTGGGTGGAAAGCAACCTATGCGTTTGGTTGAAGGTGTCATATGAATGGGTTGGGACCGTCCAATTTATTTGGGATTGAACCATTCAATTCATGCATTTGGCTGAATATAAGAGATGAGCTAATTATTTAGGACGGGACCATCAGTCATGCTTACATAGTCATGCATGCAAAGCGTGGCCATTTGATTCGACCGATTTGGTTGGGTGGAACGGTTCAGCATCTTCAAGGCATATTCTCTTTTTTTTGACTTGAACCATTCATGTGCTTTATAACCAAACATGTCTATTTTTTGAACGATCCCAATCCATTCATGACCACCCTTGTAACCAAACGCACCCTAAAATAGTGCTGTAGAAACTATGACTTGCTTTGGATATTTGCCTATTGAACAAACAGAAAATGTTTATCCGACCACAGTGTTTGCAATACTTTTTGGCCCAGAGCACTATTTATTTTCTGTCTTCATTAGAATTGTCCCCATTTTTGTAGCTTATTATCCTGGTATTTGTTTTTTGTCAGCGGTTGCCACTTGCTTGTTCCTTGTTTCTGTTTTTGATGGTTGCAGTTTTCTAAACATATTACTCAGCTGGTTTTGATGTATTTGTTATGGGACAGAGGGAGTATTAGTTATTATCCATGTATATCCCTCAGCTGGTTTTCATGTATTTGCGTTGAATACATGATTGATACTATGCCATGAATCAAAGTAGTATATTACATGAGATGCTAATATAGGTTCTAAAGCTCTAAAATCACATACCTGTGTTTGTACGCCTGCACAGAGGCGTCATGAGTAAATTGGTTGGTACAGTTTTATTGATGTTGGCTAAACTGGCCAATTTGCTGCCAAATGCCTAAACCATTTTTCAGTATATGAAATTATAAACTTGAATGTTTTAGATCTCTAACTGTATCACTACTAGCAATTCAGTAAAAAAGAGAGGCATTATCTTCAAAAATTGATGACCTTATTTCTATTTTCCATGGTTGAAGTATATCAAATTGTTTTAATTGAAGACGGACCTTAGGGTAATTTTTTTTCCCTAGGAGGTACCATAAATCTTTGATATCCTTCCTTGTATAGAACTATAACATTTTGCATTTGACAGCCGAATAGAGTAAAGTGAACAATCAAGAACATGGACTTTAGAATTTTTCTAGTGACCTAAGAATGAATGTTGCTTGAAAACCCCGTATTGGTGTTAAAGAACTTGAAAACAACCCTTGGTAGTTCCAAAATGCCATTCCAGAACTGATATTTAAGAACCTGGAATAAGAGTTTGTGAAACTGGAGCTTTGAACCCTCGTGATGTAGATGAAGCTGCAAATCCGGCCTTCAGGCTCCAATCTGACCATCCATCTCATCGAGTACTGGGCTTCAAAGATAAACTCCATCAAGGGTACTTATAACTTTATGGAATTGCATATTTGCTTGGACTCCCATGCTTGCAGTAGTTCTAGCATAGAAGATTTCTAGGTGACTTGTCGTGGATAGCAGGTTGTATGCTATGCTAGTCGTTGTCATCGAACTCAAAAACACTGTCAGATTTGAAGCAGGCGAGGGCTGCTGTGCACGAAGATGGTTCTCTGTAACTCAATGCAGATGTATCCTGCAGCTTCTGAAGGTTGAACAAGAGCATGCTTATTTGGCAGGTTCTCTACAATGGCTGGGCTTTTTTTCATAACTTGTACAGTGCACTGCTGTTTTCTTAAGCTACAACATCCACGAGGTTTTATTTCCTCACCCAGGGCTTGGAACATGTTTTTTTTTTGGTAAATAGATAAACATTGTTCATATTGAGGTGATGGGGGGCTATTCAGAAGTCTCATGACTTTGGCAGTCTTCTCGGCTGAAGTACACTCTTGCATTGGATGAATTTTCCATGCATAGGCCAGGGCTCTTTGGTCCTCTCAACGAGAGGAAGATGGAGTGCTGTGGGGCTCATCGACAGGAAGTTATGTTTAGAAAAGTGCAGTGATTTAAGTTCAAGAATAATACTACTACAACCAAGTGATTTGCTGTTTTTTCTCCTTACTTTTATAGATTCGAAAACCACGTATAGGCCATCACAAATTCACAATTCTCTCTCTAATATACTGGGCTGTTAAAGAATAGCTACTCTGATTTCAAAAGTAAGTCTTCAGTAAACATGCTTCCATAATGTTTCTCTATTTCTATACGGTGCTGCTAAATCTCAGTCGCGAAGTCTCAGTCAACGCGTCCACCATTTGATTGGTATTTGCTTTAAGATTCGTGCTGTAAGTGGGTTTGTCTCGTTCTGGCCTGTTAATGCAGCCGGTTCTTTTTCTTCATGTCTTCTGGTTGTCTGGGCTCTTTTTGTCGCGGGCCAGAGGGTTTGCGTGGTGGGTTGAGAAGGTGTGGAGGGCCTTTTCAGTATCTTTCCTGTGATTTGTTCTTTTTCTTCATTTTAATTTTGCTTTTTTGTGGTACGCCGGTTGTGAGCTTGGCCTTTTTTTTCTGTGCCTGCGTTGTTATGTTTGAGGGTGAAAAAAATATTCGCCCATTTCTTTTCCTGTGTGATCCTCAAAAAAAGAAAAAGAAAATTCTTTTCATGTGCTGTTATGTTTGTCTTTTTTGTTTTTCCATTTCTTCTTTTCTAAATATTTTTTGTAAATACATGAATAATTGTAGAATTATATATTTTTTTGTATAAATTTTTTTCTTCTTGTAAAATTACATGTTTTATAAAGAATATAAAACTTTGATATTACATGTATATTTATGTAATTTCGCTTGCGTAACAATTGTTGCACACTCGTTTGCTACGTGTAGCTGGATGTTCATCGCCCACGTGAAAATCCTTAAAAATTTATTCAATATAATTACTTTATCAATAATTGTTTATATTTTTAGGTTCTACTTTATTTATATTTCTAGTTTCTATCTTTTTGCTGTATTGGGTTTTTTCGTTGTTGTTACGGCTTCACTAAATCTCAGTCGACTGAGATTTAGCGAACTCTCAATCAATGGCACTAAGATTCGTGTGTACGTGTACGTTGGCTCGAACGAGCTCTTTTCTTTGTCGCTGCACGGGCCGGTGGAGATGAGAGAGCCTTTGTTTTATTTTTCTTCTTGGCCTTGTTCCCTTTGTTGTGCAGCACAAGTTTCCCGAGAGTGTTTTTTTAGTTATTTTAGTCAGCCTAAAAAAAGTACTTTGTTTTGTTTCTTTTTCTCGCCCTACACAAGTGAGTTTTGCCGGTAGGAGAGGAAGTCTCAGTGGCTTCTCTTTTTCCCAAAAGAAATTTTCATTTTCATTTTTCCTTTTTATTGTTTTACTTTTCATTTACTTTTTATAAGTCTTTAACTTTTCTTGTATTTATTTATATTTATTATTTGCTTGTCCCGTTTCATATTTTTCGTTTTGTTTTTTCTCTTGTTTATTTAATTTAATTTTTCATTTTTCATTTTGTCTTTGCTTAATAATGGTGTGTTTTATTCTATTTTATTTTAGCATATTTTCCAACTTTCTAGCAGCCCTATTTTAGCAACGAAATTGCCTACTCCCTCCTTCCATCTATATAGGGCTTTTGCGTTTTTCGAGGCTAACTTTGACCAAATGTTAGAGCAACAATATATGACATGTAACTTACACAAATCATACGGTCAAATTCGTATGTGAAAGGAGCTTCCAATGATATAATTCTCACATTATATATCTCATGTACTACTAATCTTGTCAATAGTCAAAGGCGGTATTGAAAAGCACATTAGGCCCTATATAGATGGAAGGATGGAGTACCAATTTTTTTGTTAATCATTTTCAGTTGCACATCCATTAGATACTTTTGTAACTAAATGTTGGCTGTAATAGTTGAAATTTTATTAGTGGGATTCCTAAAATTCAGACGATTGAGTTTAACCGAACTCCCGATACACATATATAGTCGTTATCACTGTTTCTGTAAGATTCACACAACACTACTTGTCTAGTGTTACCCCGACCTGTTTAGCGCTCGCTTCTTCTTTTTTTACTTTTCTCGTGTTCGGTGTGCTGGTTGTGAGAGGTGTTTTTCATTTTTTTGTTGGACATTTCAATTGCCATGTACACACCATATCTACCGCGGAGTACTCATCTCAGGGGAGGGATTTTCGTACCTCGGGGTTCTTCAGTTGCATTTTTTCATCTATTTCCCCCTCTTTTATGACAGATCTCTATTTGTGGATTTATTTATGTATGCATTTTATTTTTTATGCTTGTATAATGTAGGAAATGCTTTTTCTTCGATGAGTGGGGATTTTTGAACCATGTAGACATAAATGTTAGTGGGTATGTTGGTTGTTAGCGGGTTTTTAAACCATGACTTTTGTTTTTTATAGGACCGACATTTTCATATATATTTTTCTTGTTTATGCGTAAAAGAATATTAGCATATTTTTTTCTTGCACCCGGCTGCAAGTGAATGTCTTCTGACCCAACCGCAACTGGACTTTTTTGTTCTGTCGAAGGGGGAGCCGGAAGAGGGGGTGGGCCAGTTGCAAGCCCAACAACAACCCCGCAACTGCATGTCCCCCAACATGGTTGCAACTCGACTTTTGTTTTGTCAG